GGGGGGGGGGGTGGGAATTTTTTCATTTTAATATAAGATAGTATTGTAAAGGAGTCGGGTGAGGCTGCAAAAGTGTTCGAAAAAAGTGTCCCCGGACGGGGGGGGGGACTTTTTTTTGGGTGTGGTCCGGGGCGTGGTCGAGCGACGTGCGCCGGTGTGTGTTGCGTTGCGCGGCCGAGATGCGTCGCCGAAGCCCTGGTCGACCGCAATGAGCGCGTTTGAAATTGGCGCGCGACTTTATGGGTCAGACGGAAGTAATGTTATGCAAGCGTGACGTGTGTTTTTTCAAGGTCAAATTCAAATAACAACGTTTTAGGTTACATTATAATACTTTATTCATCTTTTTTAATAATTTACACAGTTTTATTTTTAATAGATGCTAGTTTATTAACAATATAAGTAAGTTCAGTTTAGATTGGAGTGTTTTTTTTCAACATAGGGTAACATGTTCATTTCTATATAGTTCAAATGTGCTAAGGTGTCGCGATGTTTTTTAATTTTTTCCAATGATTTTTTTCGTCTTTCTGCGATAAATTCAAAACTGCTGTAATGTTTTATAGCAAAGCATTTGATGTCGTACGGGTGTTTGGTGTATATTTGCGTTTTTTTTCGTATCCCCCCCGCGGAGGTCAATAGCTGTAGTTCTTTAAGTGCTAATGCGGCTTCAGTTTTGATGTCTTCGTTTTCGTCGCCGTCTATACGCATGATGCTTGCGTCGTTGGTCGGTCTACCTGAGCCTCGAACCCCTGTTTTTGTGCGTCATCGTTTTGTTTTTTTCTCATGTTCGTTCTGTAATCTTGCGATGTTTTTAGTAGTAGTTGTAGTTTATTTTGACTTGCAATTGTTGGTTCGGGATGAGATTCGTTAATACTCATAATAATGTCCGAGATTTCGTGCTGTTCAAATGTGGTTTCAGAGTTTTCGTCTTCGCTGGAGTTTAGGGTTTCAAGGAGTGTTTGTTCAATTATATTTGGTTCACCCTGTATGGTTTGTGGCTCCATGTTTGCTTGTTGTGTTGTGCGTTCTAGCGAAAAGGTATTAAAGCATGTCTGATCGGGTAATGTAGCCAGTTTTGTAGGAAGGTGGAGGGGCTCGGGTTGAAGAAGGGTTGGTGTTACTACGGCTGTCGTTGGCGTTGTTGGTGGTGTTGATGAGTATTGTCGATGCCAGCGGATAAATTGCAATTCCTGCGAAATACCCGTATTCATATTGCAGAATTGTTCAAAACTGCGAAATAAATCTTGGTATGCAGCGTAATTCTCGTTTGTTAAAGAAAAACCCAAGTAGTCTACAAAGCGTGTAAATCGCTCCATCTTGTAGACTTGTTGTATGTAAATGATTATACTGTGCTTGTTTGTGCAATGTTAATAGCGAGAGTTGGTTGCGTTTACCCAAATATGGTCATTAGCGTATTATTTTTTTAACATTCGACGAGATTATTACCCAATCTTGGTTGTGTTATTGACCAAATATGGTCAATTATATCCGTTGAGCAAATTCTGCATAGGGTGCGTTATTGACCAAATATAGTTAATGTGTCCGCGGGTGTAGTATTGACCGAATATGGGTAATTATGCTTGTTTGTTTTTTTAGAATCATGGTCAAGGTGACGCTTATCAATGTCAGAGTTGTTGTGATGCTATTGTTGGTATTAATTTTAGCTGTATTTTATGCGACACTATTTATATCCGGCACGCATGAGGGCGTAAGAATTATACGCGACGTGTTGGTTTCATTGTTGGCCAATTGTACAATAGACGGGCTACATACTCATTATTCAAATACACACGTTTGGTTTCCAGGAGAAAGTGAAGAATTTTAAATAAAAGGTATGGAAGATTGTGTTCGTTTGCATAGTGCAGGCATTTATGCTAATTTTTTTCAAACGGGTGATTGTATTCGGGTTGTAGACCCTTTATCGGTCTTGTATACAACAAGTTTTTTTTTTTTTGGTCGCTGTCTACAAGGTGTTGAACACGTGATCTGTTTGGATAGCACGGCTTGTTTTTTAGAAAATGACATACATTGGTTTGGCATTTATATATATGAACACTATTCGCAGACGCGCTCTAAGGGATATATATGTGTTTCAAAAGATGGTGTGATAACTTTTGATGCTACATTTAATCGTTTGACGCAAACTCAACAACAATGTTTTATAGACTCGTTATCGCGCCAAGTATAGTTCGCAGATTTGCTGGGTGAGACGTGTTGTGTAAAATTATATTTACAGATTTTGAAAGATTGCAGAGTGTTAGCATCACCCGATCTATTATTTTTTCTTTTTTTCTTTTTTGACAATATGCGTTTCCAACCAAGAGTGATGTTTAATTATGGTCGTGAATTTGATGGGTCTACGATTGATCCCCCCATAATATGTGCGCGTGGGTTGTGTAAGAAAATAACTGCCTATGTATCTTTGGATGCTAGTTATAATACACCCGGTGATCATACTATGATTTTACGGTATTTTCATTATGGTTGCGAGGAAATATTGCGGGGTAAATATGGCGTATATATGACAGTGTCATTGAAGCAGGAAAAAATACATACAAATATTGTAAACAAGAACAGCCTTCACAAAAAGATGTGTGAAGATATAGAGATAATTGTTAGCGGTATGCTGGCATATGACATTGTTAAAAATACAGACGATATACAATTAATATGGTTGGAAGAATACGGGCTTGCGGTTGATGAAGACTTATTATATGAATTTGATGCGGTTGTAAAACATTTTTACTCTTTTTAAAACTCTTTAACGACACGACCCTATTACCGCAATGCTTGTAAGCAATACGCTTTGCCGATTTAATATCTTCGGTTCATTGAATGCTATGAGGACAAAAATACCACCATTCGATTCAGTGTGACTAGATCTCCTCACTCGTAGCAATAGTTTTAGTCATTGACAACTTTATAGCGATTTATGAGCTTTAAAAGTAAAGTGAGATCGAATACGATCAAATTACGCATTTTACCAACAAATTATAAAAACATAAACATACCTTACGCCGAATATAACTTCGGCCCCTTGAAACGTATGCTCATTGCAATATTCTTGATGAATTAATCATTTAAAATGCCATGTATAACGTTATTTCCAAGCTTCTATCCTTAAAGGGTGACTTTTAGTGCCAAATTTTACATTTTTGCTCCGAATTTGCGATAATCCCAACCGGAAATACGACGAAAACTCGTCAAAACAATGCCACGCTTGTATCGCGTGACTCTGGAAATGCCAGAAATGGACTCTACAGGTCAAAGTGCACCGATACGCGTGAGTTTGACGTCTTTACATTTGAAAAATTGAATTGTAATGTAATGCGAAACTACTTGTCGACAAGGAGTTAAGGACATGTATTTTGATAAACTAAAATTATCGGGAATGAGATATCAGGATCCAGTCAGATATGGAAAATGTGAAAAATTACCTGTAATACAATTGCAGACCCTGTGCAAAAAAGTTGACGCATATATATTTTTGCGCGAGAGTCATGAAGTAACTTTGCGCGGTAATTATCCTGATGCAAAGACTATGATTTTAAATTATTATGGGCACAAGTATGAGGGGAGAATACCCAGGGGACCGATCGCTGTAGCGGTGAATATGTTTTTACAAGATGGAGATGTGTGTCGTGGTGTACGTGTATTTCATTCGGGATATCAGCATTTGAAAGAAACTGTAGAAACATTTGTTAGTAGTTTTTTGTCAAGATCAGACATAGACGCTTTCCAAACATTTTCGATTGTTAATCATAGCCTAGTTATTAACCATGATGTATTAGAGGAAATAAATAATATTGTAAATTTTTTAAGACAAAAATAAAAATGACTTAGCGGTTGTAATTTTTGTGTTTTTTGAAAATTTTGTAGGATGGCGGAACAAGGTGTGTGGATACAATCTGAAGATTGTGTAATATCACGACGTATACGTTGTACGTTGCCCCTTGCACCCTACAAAGATTGTGCTGCATTGTTGTTTAAGGGTAGTGTATATTATACAGCAACGTTTGTTTTTATATCACACCGTGTTAATCGTAAGACTTTGCGTCTTTGTAGCATATCACCAGCCGATAATGATGTTTTGTACTACGACTTAAAACGTCCAAGGAAAAATGAGCGGTGTTGCGCACTTCATTTAATACCGGTGTGCGGGTCATATACGTATACTGAGGAAATTTCCGACATAAAAAGAGGGTTGCAACGCATTTTGGTAGAGTTTAAGAATGCAAGTATTGATACAGTGCGTCGTAAACTTTGTGCGGATACGCGAGTATTGTATTCGAATGTGTTGTTAAAAATGTTTCAAGATGATGTATGGTGATGATATATGTAATCATGGTTTACAAGAACCTTTGGAAATAATAGAGGACGACGAATGTTTAGGGGTTATAAAAAAGTTGCGTCAAGATCGTAGAGAATTTTCTTTTTTCACCGCTTTGCTTTATGATTTACACGTATTGCGACAAATAACTGGTTCTGATTCTGACTGTATGAAAATATGTCTTCATGGAACAGTTATGTCTCTGCCCAGCGTGTATGTATATTTGAATGATGTGCTATTTACGTCGAAGGGACGTGTTTTGAAAATAACGCATTTAGATTGGGCTCGAAATAGACATTGTACAGTTTTGATAACGATACCCGTTTATCCGAGTGTAAAAGAAACATGTATTAATACATTTACACTTGCTGGAAGGGTCGAAGTGGCGGTGTCACACACATGTATTTTAAAGAATACTACGGGCGTAAATAATAGTCGTGCAGTTTATGAAGAAAGTATTGTTGAATATTATACGGCTATTTTTAATAGTTTATGTACGCTTACTATAACTACAAACAGTGTTGCTGAAATTCGAAAGATTTTAAGTGACGCTTACAGCGGATATGTGCGCTATTCTTGGCGTTTTTTAAATGTGGCAATGTCTGTGGTGCGTTTGCACCTTGATGTTTGGGTATATATAGCTGATCGTTGTACATGCGGCGTGGGAGAAACCTTGGAATGTCGTTGCGCTGAACTTTGTTTTAATGTTTTAGAAATATTTCCAAATAACAGAGTGTTGAATGCATAAATGGCGTGGTGTTACATGAAGCCCAAAAATGATTTGGAGAGACAGTTGTATACGAAACTTGAACAAAAGATAAATGTTGATAGAAAAAAAGACGTGGAAAATGATGTTCCAATTGTTTTTATCCATGGCAGTGTGTTCAATACGAAATATTGGTTGTATAATCATTGTACGATTACCGATCAGGGTTTTAAAACGTATTTATTTACTTTGACCAAAATGTCTGATATGTCAGACCATGTTTTTGGCACGCTGTGAATAAGATACAAACCGGTTATTCACATCAACAATGTTTTACATACTAGCATGATGGGGTTTAAATATACAAAACTAACTAGTTGTACGCATACGATTGGTTTGTTTGGCATATATCCCGAATTATTGCGTGACATTATTGTCAAAGATATTATGTCAAAAGATATGATGGGTATATTAAATTTTGAAGTTGTGGCTCTGGAAGTGTCCTGTAAAATTGCCGAGGAAAAAGATGTTTTAATCTCACCTCTTTTGGTTGAGGACATTTTAGTTCATTACAAACGTTTATTAAATAATTTAGAGGTAGTTTATGCAAATTGTGACTGTGCTCATATATTTGATAGACATAAAAATTGTAAATTATTAAATTTTTTTCAAAGTTGTTTGTGCTTTGTCTTGTGTTGGATGAAATGGTTGACGCGGCGTACCTCGCTAAACAACATAGCGAAATAACAGAATATGATATTGCATATATCAGGAAATGGGGTGGATATAGACGTGTTACGCATATTATCGATTGTGAGGGTTATTCGACACCGCGTTCTAAGACATTTTTACGCGAGGTCTCAATATGGTGTAGACAAACGGGTGCAATTTTGACATATCATATATATATGCCCGATAAAAGACTATTTTACGAAAAACATGCGAGTGTACGTTATCAAATTGATAATATACACAGGTTACCTATAACAAGATGTTCCGACGGTCGTGATATTGGTATGCCCGGGAAATATTACCCATATGATGCGGTGATAGCAAATTTACGACAAATATTTATGCATGCCGATCTAATTGGTTACAAGGGTGGTACAATCGAGCGTGATTTACTAAGCTGTCTGGGTTACACAGGCATGAATATAGAATTGTTGGAATGTCCGTGTTATGAGGAGTTATTGACCAAATATGGTGTTACGTCGCATACCTGCGGAAGGCATTTGACGGGTTATAAATATCATTGTAGCATGCATGAAGTAGAACTTTTC